AAGTCGATTTATAAATAAATTTTTTAAAACTATTATAAATAATATTAGCACTAGAGCAACTGTAAACAATATAGTACTCTTTCTATAGCATATTGTGGTCCTTACCTTTTTAACAAATTAATACCATAAAATTCTTCAATATCCCTCCTGAAAAATATAAATTCCTTCGAACCTAATATTAAAATTATCTAATTTTAAAAAAATACGAAAAAATAAATAAATATCAGTATAAACATATCCAAAATTAAAGACTACTCGATGTTTGAAAGTTTCTATCTTAATCACAAAAAAAAGCTGCGACGGCCCCTGTTCTTCAATGATATTTTTCATTACAAAATTTAGCCAGTTTAATGGAATTATAAATAAGTTATAATTATATGTTATATTATTTCCAATATTAAACTTAGAGATGAATCTAGAAGGAGGTAAATTAGCCATCTCTTATTAACATACTTTTCTATGGAGCTGCTGGAAGAGGAGGGGTAATAAACAAAAATAAAACCAACGTCATATTAGACTTTAAATGATTAACACTTAACGTTTTAAAATATTTTTTGTTACATTCAATGCTAAATTTTATTTCTTTGCCCCTTCTTTACTTCGCTAGTAAATATATCTAAGCAAAAACAAATGATGCTTTTTTTTTCTTTGTTTGATTTTCAGACCAGTTCTCTCACTAGATTAGAGATCCTCTCGGACATGTCATAGACCACAACTTATAATTTAATAGTAGATTTAAACTCAAGATAAAAAAGGTTAAACTTTCAAAACTGTGAAGGAAACTTCAGAACTGCAAAAAAAACACCAGGAGAAAGATTGTTTTTACAAATATAAACAAAGCATAAAAAATTAAGTTCGTAAATTTCAAGTATTCTTATTTCAGAAAAAAAATGTTTTGTGTGAGAAAAACGATAAGCAAAATTAAATACACGTATAGCATATTTTTGACAGCAATAGAGAGTCTGTAACTTACTCTTTTCAGTGCTAGCCCAAGCAATACTTGCATAATTCCTATTGCTATGAATGAATGCATAATAAAGTTGGGGTATAACTTTTTTGTTTATATAGATTCTGGTCTTTCATAAAATTCTTATGTATTTGGAAACTTTAGTACCAACATAATCAATATGCTGCTTCCATGTGATGTTCTCATCAAAGAATACGCCTAAAAACTTTTTGATGCAATCCTTTTTTATTTTAATTTGGTCAATAAAAATATCAGGTAGAGTTGGGGGTAAATAACATTTTTTAGTTATCGAATAAAAAAGAATCCATTTTACTTTTTTAATATTTAGGATAAGTTTATTGGATTTGAAACTACTAGATATTGTTTTGAGTTCCTCATTCATAGTAGTGAAGAGTATAAAAATATTGTTGTCAGATTAGTATCATCCCCAAACACATTACTTAAAAGATTAAAAGCTTTATGCAAATCAATAATAAAGATTAAAAAAATAAGTGAACCCAAAATTAAATCTTGCAGAACACCACATGAAATATCTATAACATTTTCTTGATAAGGATCGTTAAAAAAAAACAATCATGTTTTGGTTCGTTAAATAACTTTTAAACCATTTTAAAATTCGCTATCCACTCCATAACGTTTAAGTTTATAAATCAAAATGTCATGATTTAGATTATCAATGCTTTTAATAAATCCAAAAAAATAACTAATTTGAATTGCAAATTTTTAAAAGATTTAAAGATTTTTCGGACAAATTGGATGATTGCATGCTCAATAAAACTATTTTCTTAAAAACCAAACTAATTTAAAAAAAAAACTCTTTTACTTAGAATAAGTATATAATCTATTGTAAACAATTTTTTCTAAGATTTTTAAAAATGTCCACAAAGTAGAAAAAGTTCGTTAGTTACATATATTATCTTTGTCTCCTTCTTTTTATATTGGGATTATGTTAGCTATTTTAAACTGATCAGGAAAAACTCCTTGTTGTATTTATGCTCTGAAAACTTTAAAATAAATATCTTTTAATTGCTCAAAGCATTCTGAGACTATGTTTCCATTTATTTTATTTGCTCCAGAGGCTTTGTTTTTTTGAATAGATTTAAACGACACTTGAAACTTCTGAAATAATAGCTCAGAAGTTAAATTATTGGAACAAATGTTCAATAGTTTCAAAATAATAACAAAATCATTCATCAATAATAACAAAATCATTCATCGGTGTACAAATGTCAAGAAAAATTTTTTAAACTCATTAGCTAGTAATATATTATATATATACATTTATTATATATACATACATTATATATATATATATATATATATATATATTATATATACATATATTATATATATATATATATATATATATATATATATATATATATATATATATATATATATATATATATATATATATATATATATATATATATATATATATATATATATATATATGTATATATATATATATATATATATATATATATACATATATATATATATATATACATATATATATATATATATATATATATATATATATATATATATATATATATATATATATACATATATATATATATATATGTATATATATATATATATATATATATATATATATATATATATATATATATATATATATATATATATATAAAAAAAACATTGATATTTGAGTTTATTATCAAAAGTTTAAAATTTTTTACAAAATTTAGATGTAAACTATTTGAATATAAGTTTAGGTTAGTTTCAATATGAAAAAACTTAAATTAAAGTTATTTTGTTAGATAGATTTTAGTAAACTATTAGAAAATCTAAAAGTATTGTTAAAACGAATTTAGTAGGAGTTAGATGTCATTCAGAACCTTAAAAAGCGACATGTTTATCTTCCCTAAATAAGGACAGAAAATTTACTCTACTTGAATAAAAGGCAGAACTGATAAAGTTGGTGACACAGTTCGTGGACTATGGTTTTAATATAGAAATGCATTCTCCCCAATCCTAAATTTGTTGCACTTGCGTTAAAACTTTGTATTTAAAAAAGGCAAGTATAGTTAATAAGGTTTTGTAAATTTGTATTATGCACTTTTAAGATTGACATAAAATTATATAAAAATATTTAATCAAAGAGATCTGAATCTATTTTACTGAGTCATTTTAGTAAAAATTGATGGTGGTCAGGGGTCTTTAAAAATTGTAACAAGCATTTTTGATTCAGATTCTTAATCAGACTATAAAAACATTTTGCTCACTGGCGTCAAAAAAGTAAAAAATTTTGCCATTGAACGTGGCGTTCAAGAGAACACTTACAACAAAATTAATTGAGATGACAATTGTAAATTAACTGAAATTTTTTGTAACAGCAGATCTCAAGTTATTCAACAGTATGTTGATTAACTTAATTAATGGTAAAATGTATAAAAAAACAACCAATAATTTTTAAATCTTTCCTTTTAGTTACTGAGGGCTGTTTTAGAATGGAGCTTTCATCAAAGACATCAGAAAAGACATCAAAGAATTTGCAACCGAAATGTGCAACTTAGAAAACTTTTAAGAATCATATAAATTACTCTATCAGCCTGGGCTGGATATTCCACTTAGTTAAAGCCTATCTTGCTTCTTTTATTGAAAGAAAACAAAGATCGTTGGGTGTTTTCAGTGAACCATCCTCTGAGTATGCACATAAAAACGTAAATTAAATAATGAAGAGTTTGCAACGTCATCACTGAACAAATCACTTAACAGAACTTAATAAATCACAATCAAGTTGGTTTAAATGGCAATAACATACTCTATGAGGATTTAGTATAAGTAAATTTAAGTATGAGAATTTAGAGAGTCAATTCAAACATTTTCCATTAAAAAAGAACATATATATGATATTTATGACATACTATACTAATAATTACTTAAATGTTTAAATCTTGCCGATTTGTTATTAAAGATATATGACAATTTTGTCTTACTATTTTTTGTTGATTATTAGGATATATTACGTTCTGAAACTGTTATCCATTACCCATGAATAGAAAAGTTACATTTACCAATGCATAAACTAATGTGTTTGCAATGAATACTCAGTGCTTTTAAATTGTTTAAGACAAATAACAGTTGGCCCTGATGATGCCAATTAGTTTTTATTATAAGCAGTTATGACGCTTTAAAAGACATACTTTACCAAATTTTTAAATGCTCTATTATTTAATGAATTTTTCCTGATGATTTAAAAATAACAATAATTATTCCTATATTAAAAGAAGGAGAAAAAACAAATGTAAAACACTATCGCCCATTTTCTATTCTTTCTGTTTTTACTAAAAATTTTAGAAAGAATTTTGCACAACAGACTACACAATAACTTTTAGCAAACAAATCATTAAATAACATGCAAAATGCACTCAAAAAAGTTAATTCAACAGATTATGCTAATATTAACCCTACAAAAAGTATATCAGACTCATTTAACATTTCTAAACTTACATTTGGAATTGTTTTTGATATACCATTAATTTTTAGCGTTTTTAAATGGTTCAAAAGTTGTTTTACTAACCGTTTACAATTTGTTAACGTCGATGAAGCGTTTACATCAAATTTATTAAGTATTGCATGAAGAGCTTCTCAATGATCCATATTAGGACCTCTCCCTTTCTTTTTCTTAATATTAATACTGTAATTTTATATTTGTAGTGTCGTTTCATTTTTCTTTTTATATTAGTTTTAGTTAGTTACTAGGCTTTTCTTCAAAGAGTGGTACTTAACATTCTTATATGTTATAAACAATACTTAAATTTATTTCCATTTTTTATATACATTAGTTTTGTCCTTCTGTTTAAATAAGATTCAGAGTTTTGACTAGAAATCATTAAAGTCACCTATAGTAATACTGAATATGGACACTTAATGGATTAAACTAGATTCAGATTTTGCTATTATATTATATATAAATATATGTTTGTGCTTAAGATAAATGTCAATTTATAAATTTATGAAACACTTTTAACTTATTTAATTAAGTTTAATAAATAAGTCTTACCCATCCATTGATTTAATCCATTGTAAAGTATTTTTTCTTCATCTCCCTCTAAGTTAACGGTTTTATTAGTGTTTAAATTTTTCAAAGCTGTTTTATTAAATTGTAAATTGGATATTGCTAACCATTTTTTGTAAAAAAGATCAAAATATAAGTATGTTTTCTGATTACGATTGATCGCATAAAGCTCTTTGGTTTGTGAATGATGTCCTATGACGGCTCCCACACGAACATCCATGTCTAAAAATATTTAACAACAAACCAAGTTAAAATTGACTGGTAAAAACACCAAATAAAACTAAATCATTCACTAATGCTACCATTGTTGCTTTAGTGCTTTATACATTATCACTACGGTTTATTGGCATAAATTTACAAATACAACAATTTTAAAACACATTATTACTTATCTTTGAGTAAAAAGCGTTGCTGTTTACATAGCAAGTAAGACTCCTTTAAATATCAATTATACTCCTTTAAATATCGAATAACACTCCTTTTAATATTTCGATTGGTATGGCTAATATTGACCTGACAATGTATAGTTTTGTGCTATCAGTCTTGTTTGTCTGTGTTATACATAATATATATATATATATATATATATATATATATATATATATATATATATATATATATATATATATATATATATATATATATATATATATATATATATATATATATATAAAGATAAAAGTTTTCTGATAGCATTTATGGCCAATATTTTAAGGTTTTTGTTACTATATTCCAAGAAACTTTCAAATTTGTTCAGAGTTTATTAGATCTGTTAATTAAACTTTTTTATTTAACAAAATTAAGTTAAAAAATCTGTCTGTTTATTATATTTTACTTTTTATCAGCAGTTAAATATTATCTCAAAACTAAAAAAAACGTTTTGGGTAAACCATTATTAAAAATAATACAAATACACTAATAAAAACAAAATTTTCTAGCCACCCGTTCATTAAGTCATTCTCCCCATTTAGAAGTTAAAAAACAATAACATATATTTAGAAGTTAGGATATTTTTGATCAATATATGTGTTTAAGAGTAAATGAAATAACCAATTACCAGGGAGAGAGAATATATAAAATAAACAACTGCCAGAGAGGGTTAAAGTTTAAATACTATCTATTATTTGGTTAATTTTGTAACTTTATTTAATAATTATGAATTTTTAGCCTGAATATGTCTAATGCACTAGTGTCGACCCTGCTAGTATTGTTAATCTATTCTGGCAAGAAAAGAAAATATTATATATAATTACAACCTAGTATAATATTATTAAAATTTAGTCATCATTTGTTGATCAAATCAATCATTTTTGGGTCATGAAGTTTCTGTTTATTTAGCCGATAATGATTTTAATAATATTTGGCTATAAAAACAGCCGTTTTTAAGAAGCGTATTATAGAGAAATTTTTATTCGCTTTTTGCATAGTACTGGCTCCTCATTAATGTCAAAGTGAACATCTTCCTGGGAATTATCATCTTTTATAGGTCGGCACATTTTTTGAGTTTTGAATGGTATTATTGTTTTATCCAAAATTACAGATAGATGTGTTATCCCTGCGGGAACCAATTAGGCTTTGATGTCCAAAACAATATTCAAGTGGATTTTTATAAAAAATTTCTGTTAATACGTAAGACACACCATTAGGAAGTAAAAATTTTATCAACTCAACAGCTGATTTAAAAGTAATTTAAATTCTTTTATAGGTTTGCCACAATATAAACATTTTACTTTTATTATTCAGAGTAAAGTAATCATGACGGTTATTAATGGAATTTAACCACTTATCAAATAATAGCAAAAATTATATTTTAAAAACTATAAAACGATAGTCATTAACAGAATAAAATGAGACTAAGAATGATTTTGTCTTTTAAATTGATTCTATAGCATTACCTATATTCATAATACCAAGTAAACAAAAACTCATTGAACAAAAGTTAGCTGTGGAAAAAGCATCTGGAGATCTATAGTTAAGAAGGACTTTTATATCAGTCTTGCTAAAAACTTGAGCTGCCAATTTGACGTTCATAATAGAATAAGATAATAATTTAATATGATCATATGATAATTTTAGAAGTAGATGTAAACCACATGTTTGTTCTTCTTTAAAAAAAATGTGACTCGATAGAATGTATAAAGCATCATTCAGCAATGTATCTAGTAATTTTTCATGAGCTACAAATACAATGTTTTTATTGTCTTCAGATGATGTGAGAGGATGGGGGTTTGTCAAATATAAAGTAAATATACCTTTCAGGTCAATGTAGATCAATAGTTTTATTCATCTACATTGTCCTTTTATTGATACGATGTGGCATCTACATCCTTTTTATCATTGAAATTAGATACACGTGATTGCATTTTTAAAAAATTTTGGTTATGGGCAGCACCATCACAGGTTGTTGCTATAACTTATTTTTGCATTTCAGTTCACATATACCAACAGCTTTTCAAACTAATGGAAAAAATTTGGTGGATGATATTCCAAGTGCAACAAAACTATTTAGTGTAAATATAAAAAGATTAACCATATTGTGTATAATACTAATAAATGTATAACAATACTAACAAGTGTATAATAATAATAAAGGTTAACCATACTGTGTAAATACTAAAACAAGAGTTGCTATTGCATCAATTTTTTGTAAAGTTATGTTATATAAGTCAATATTGTCAAGGTCGACAAGTCCTATAATTTCTCCTGTGCGTTTATCCCATACAGAGTTTTATGAATTTTAGTCTCACCAAATAACAATAGAATATTGATTTCTATTTACTAAAATCTTTTACTTTTGATTTTAACTCTTTAGCATTATTAGGATTAAATACACGTTGTTGCTCACTCCAGAACTTCATAAATGGCAAAACATTGTATTTATTAAAAGTAATAGACATTAGACTTTTTATATCATCATCAAAGTTTAAGGTTACTTGTAATGAATTTTTTTGAATTTCATCTTGCATATTTTTTATTTCTTGTTTTAAAAAATCATTTTTAGCTCAATAGTTTTGCAAAGTAAGTTTAACTCTATCTGGTGAAGTTATTGAGATATTGGCATTTAATTGAGCAGGTTATGTTTCATATACATATTTTACAGCCTTATGATATTTATTATTATGTGACGATTCTAAAGATTTACATGTATTACAAATATCATTAAATCTCAAACTCAAAGTTGACCTGATAAACTCACTTACAAATGTAGTAATTAAAAATACACTTGGGTTGTACAACTTCTTAAAAAAATGTTTCAACCACAGGCAACACCCTGACATAATAAATAAGTTGACAAAAGAGTAATAAAATTCGATAAAGACAAAAAGTTAATAATACTCAATAAAGTTTTTAACTAGTTTAATACAGTTAGAATATAACTCTTGCTTATCAGGTAAGCTTCAAGTAAACTATTGTATTTTAAGTATTAGGCTAGGTTAAATATATACTTCATATTGGGTTGTATATGAATGTTGTCTAATTTAAAAACTTTGACTAAATTTTTTGATACAACAAATTTTCATGATTCCAATTTTAGGGATTCTACAAATGCTGAAAACAATTTATAAAAACAATGTACATCATTTTGAGCTTTGTCAACTTCAATGCAATCCTTTTTCAACTCGATATTTAATGTTGGAAGTTAAGAAACTAAAAAAAGGAATATAAAAAAACTAATTTTAAATAAAAAAAAAAAATTAAAACATATGTTCTCTTTTTAAAATTTTTTTCAAGGTGTTTTTTTTCAACACTCTTTATTGGTAAATTTTGTGAGGGTAAAGATTCTCGTAAATGTCTTGTTCTAGGTGAATCTATAAAATAAATGTTATTTCAATATTTTTAAAACAATGAATTAATAATATAAATATTTAAAACAATAATTATAAATGTTATCAGAAGTATTATATATATATATATATATATATATATATATATATATATATATATATATATATATATATATATATATATATATATATATATATATATATATATATATATATATATATATATATATATATATTTATATATATATTAGGGCTGTACCTGATTTAATTTTTTCAAATCCGGCCGAAGCCGGATTTCTACTGACAGATCTGGCCGGAATCGGAGCCGGAGCCGGATTTCAAAACAAAACTACAGGAGCCAAAATCCTGTAGATCCCTACTTGGTGTTGAGCATGGTCAACAATGTGAACTATTCAGAATACCAAGTGACTGCTGTTTTCTTTTAAACTTCATTGTTGTTATTTAAAAAGTTTTATAGCAATTTCTATATATAAATTAATAGAAATTCTAAAGAAATTCTATACGCCATATGTTTTTAAAGTTTATAGTAATTCTATTGAACTTTTTCTCCGGGATTTTGTCACTCCGCCACTGTAGTGGATCATTGTGTCTATTTATTTCTGGTTCTTTCGGATATTTCCTTAGCTGAGTTTCAATGCCTTTTAGTAATTGTTGTTTATGTGCCCTGCCACCAGCGGACGTAGACTGAATAATTTTATCAATAAATTGCCAGAGTAATGATGATGATGATGTAGAAAAATTATTAAGCCCGGCTTATTTTGGTGGATTTTCTTCAGTTTTGCCAATCTTCTGTTCAGCATGCTCAGATTGACTTCAATCTTGTTTTTTCAGCTGTCAGTGTTGCCTGTAAGAGGAGAATTTATTTTTAAATTGTGAGTCAACCAGCCTCGTTAGTATATAAAGAGGTTTCTCTTTTCAATGCTTTTAAAACGCTCATCCAATCACTTGGTTAGGGTTGACATCATAGTCTTTATATATGCATCATTGTAGAATACCGTGTGTCTTCCCTTCAAAATTTTTTGTTGCGTTGTTGTTTGAAATTAGACTAAGCTTATTAAATTATAATGAAAAATAAATACAAATACCAAAATAAATATGAAGTTTATAAAATATAGAATTACAAAAAAAATTGATTTTTATAAATAAAATATTAGGTATATATGTAAACACGGGCAAAAAAAATGTAATAAATATTTGACAAAATTCAAAACTCCGGCTAAAATATGCTGGATTTGCTAAATTTTTGCCGGAGCCGGATTTGGGCCGGATTTGTAAAAATGGCCGTATTTCGGCCGGAGCAGGAGCCAGAGCAGGAGCCGGAGCCGAAATCCGGTACAGCCCTAATATATATATATATATATATATATATATATATATTATATATATATATATATATATATATATATATATATATATATATATATATATATATATATATATATATATATATATATATATATATATATATCACACAAATAACTATATGAACACAAAACTTACTTTTATTAACTTCGTGATCTTCAAAAAGCCTCTCGCATACATGTAAAGAATAACTAGGAATTTTTTTTTCCTAAAGTTGAATGAATCAGGTAATCTTTTATGAAGATCTCTATCAATTTTCCTCTGCTTTCAATATTATAGTCATTCTGACCTTTAAGAAGACTGAATACAGCTATATCATGTAAATAGTGAGAATTAGTACCACGATATATTGAACAATTTGCTCCAGGCATTGTACTTTTAGTTGAACTTTTTACAAAAAATTGTTTGTTATGCACCTTAAAGTAGGCTGGGTACAAGAACCTTACATTAACGCGAAAACTATTGTTTCCGGTCCGTGCTTCTACACTATTTATTCTTTTATCAATGCTTATACGTAGCATTTTATAACCAAACATTAAATAAAATAAAAACCAAACATTTAAAGCAAAAAAATTTTTAATCAGAATAAATGTAAAAAATAAAATTTTTATTTTCGAACATTGATTTTTTTTGATAAATATATTAAACTCTTCAAACGATTTTTTTGGAGGAGATTTTTTTGGACTAGATTTTATAGACGAGATTTTTTCGGAAGAGATTTTTTGGGACAGAAATTTTATTGGGTGCAACTTTGCTCATTTATTTTAAACAAAACAATGAAAATTTAATAGCTTATTAATTTTGTATGTTGTACCTGTCCACATGTTACCAATTTTGTTTGAGTAATAGCATGCAGTTTTCTTGCTAAAACAAAAAAAATCAAAATCAATGTTTGTTGCTGTTATTATTAACATTGTAGATAATATTACTATCATTATTGCTGTTGTATTTTTATTATTATGATTATTTTTCTTATTGTTATTATTATTATTATAGTTTTTATTTATGTGCATAAATTTTACCTGTTATGGCAAAACTTTAAAAAAATGAAATTTTATATATTATAAATACTACAAATTATTAAAAAAATTAGTCTTAATTTTTCTAAGTTATAAAATACATAAGCATTCAAAAAATGTTTATCATATTTTTTATATTATGAACATATATGTTTTCCAAGATATTATACGTGTGTTATATCCAATGAAAATTAATATACTAAAATTATGGAGTAAATGATGTCATTTCAAAAACTGGTACGACAGAAAATTTAGGGCAGCAGTGGCAAACTAAAACAACAGGGTACTTGCCACGTTACTAACCCAATATTTTACTACATAAAATATTTAAACTTCCAATTAGCGAAATAACTCAGTCTATTTTCATTTAATTTAACAAATTGTTTCGCTGTTTTTTTATTTTTTATTTCATCAATATGTGTAATTGAGTAAACATGATGTTGTTCTGGTAAGTGTCTCCCGTTTAGACCTTACCCTTGATTTTACTCTCCTCCTTATACTAAAGCTTCTTTCACACGGTGATTTAAACTGGTGTAGGGAAGTTTCATTAACTTGTGTTTGTTTAATGGGGACATTATCAGCTGCTATGGTATTCAAAGTATCTCAGGTTATTGCCAATCTGGAAACAATATCTATTTTGATTGATACAATAGTATATATATACATATTCAGTATATCAATTGCATTATGCTCAGAAGCCTTTAGTACCACAGATGTGATTATTACTCACAGATGTAAGCAGAGCATTTTGAAAGTAGTAGGCTAATAACAACTTAGTAGATTCGTAACAGTTTTAACGATTAGTAGAATCGTAACATTTTATCGTACACTTATCATATTCGGGCACAATAATGTTTAAAAAAATACAACAATTTTTGTGTATTTAGCTCTATTCGACCATCGATTTGTATTTAACACTTTATGCATAATTCTTTGATATATAGTTTAAATCTAAACTCAAGTCAATTAACACTAAACAATTATACATTCATAAATTAAGTTTGATGTTTTCACTTTAAGTTAATCATAAATAAAAAATTAAGATCACATTACATTTATTTAACAGCTAATACAATACTAAGATAGACTTAAGAAGTCAAAAAGAAAAATATTTTGTTTCTAAAAACTTTTATTTAAACTAACAAGTCTATCAGTAAATTAATTTTATCTAGTATATTAATTTTTAATGACATCAATCAACTTACGATCAAAATGATTGAAGTATTCCAGGTTATTTAGTTTTTGAGACGAAGAACTGTGTTCTTCGCTTTAAAAAGTAAATAACCTGGAAATTTTTGCTTCAACAATTATTGAAATAGATAATCTAAATGTTTGCAAAATTTAAAAAATTCATATAAAACGAATGTTAACAGCGTTAGACTATAAAAAGTCTGATTGAACTTGCGATTGAACTTTTTTATTTCTATTTTATGTAAACAGATGACAACTAAATAGCGAGACTGGATTTAAAGACACATATATTTTAAAGCTAAAAGGCAAGGGCGGATCCAGCATTTGGTCATTGAGATAACTTGGACCAAACAATTATATATTTAAACTTGTCAAATAATTATACATTGCACAAAGTTGCAATGATAGGAACCCGGAAACAAAAAAAGTTTAAAAGTTTTTAAACGAAGGTAGGTGCAAAATATTTTTAATCGTGTTTTCGTAAATAATATTAAGTAAATAATTTATTTTTTAATTTATATAACTTTTTAGACACGTTGCCTTCCTGTAAAGGTAAGTTGTTTTACAAAATTCCGTACTTAGATAAACTTATGTGAATAAAACATTTATGAAAAACATAGTTTTAAATGTTTTTCATAAATGTTTTATTCGTTTTTTTTTTGCAAGTTTTTTAGGCTTGGATAGTCAGTTAAAATAAAAGTTTCAGATATTTTTTTTATCAAGTTAGAAAAAAAAACTAATCTTTTCAGTTCGAAAAAATTAACCTAATGCAGAAAAAATAAATAAACCGCGCTAAAGTTTTTGATTTGTTTAAATTAAATTATTTTTATTGACGTACCGATTGTTTTTAGAGTTTTTATTATCAATGGTTATTTTTGACTGGTTATTTTTACTGATGATGGTTTGCTTACAAGTTTTTATCTAGTAGTGCTTTATTGGATATTTGTAATTTTAACTTAAATGTAACTGTTTTAACCACTAAAGAGGTATGTCGAAGGCCGAAAGACTTCATAATAAGAAAACAAAGGAGTAATTAAAAGCGGCAACATCACCTATTTAGATCAAATTTACAATGTTTAAAAACAACAATAAATGAAACAGTTGAGGTGGAGTTCTCAACTGTTTCATTTATTTTAAGCTCTTTAGGTGAAAACTCTAACAGTGTACTTCAAAAGTAATATAAAGTTGTAATAACAAAGTTGGGTCAGGGTTAGGGTTAGGGTTAAAGTTGTAATAATAAAGTTGTAATAATAGGTTGCCAATAATTGACAGAAAAACAGGAGTCAGATGCTGAGGATTCTGGAATTGTACATAAAAATCCTGTTGGAAAAACGTATGATTTCAGTGAAATTGAAACAAAAAAATGACAATATGAAATGAAAGGGCTTGTAGTCGGGCTTGGTTTAATGAGTTTGTTTGGTTATTTTATGATCCATTACTGAAAGCTGTCTTTTGTGAAACCTGTGTAAAATATAATTCATGTCCTGGTCAAGTGTGAAATCATAAAATTTGGAAAATATTTAGAATTTGAATCAAATCTACAACAGCATAAAAAGATCACCAGGACTGCAATGTTCATAAGACTGCCAGAGCTCTAAATTTTTGAAAAGATTAATGCTTCAGTTAACAAATATACCTCGAGAAAGAGGTTTGCAAGCACATCTCAGAAAATTAAAAACATTACTTTGACAAGGTGCAGCTACTAGAGGTGATGTGATGAAGAATTTAAGTTCCACCAATATTGTGGATAAAAGTAAAATAAAAAATGTAAATAAAAAGTAAAAATTTAAAAACGCATTAAAATGGTAATGATCGAAAACATTTTTTTTCATCAAATAACATTTTGGAAGAGCAAGAACAGCTTCTTAAATTAAATAGATGAAGGAAGATTGTTGAACTGATCAAAGATAAACATTTCTGTTTGATACTCCCAAATGAGTTCTATTGGTTAAGAATCCTTGATTGATACAATACAGGGTAATAATTTTTGGTAGCCCCTTCAACTTTACTTTAAGTTTCTAAAATGTAAATCCCTATACCATATACCATTCCTAAGAAAAAAGGTAAAGTGATCTTGTTTGCTCACGGACGAAATTGAAACTTTTTCAAATTTTTTTACAGCTGCTAATACATCGGTCCAAATCTTTTGCACAAACTATTTGGAAAAGCATCAATTGAATAAAAATAAGATTTACTAAATTAAATAAGTTTTTGCTCTGATTGAACAGGACCATTGCATCAGCCAGCGTAAACTTCTCAGTAATTACTGAAGCGCATATTTTTATAAAAAACTTTTTTTGTCTCTGCCTAAAATTGTTTAAGAAAGTGGGCTTTTTGTTTTCGACGGGATATGTATATATATATATTTTATCGACGGGATATGTATATATATATATATATATATATATATATATATATATATATATATATATATATATATATATATATATATATATATATATATATATATATATATACATATATATATATATATATATATATATATATATATATATATATATATATATATATATATATATATATATATATATATATATATATATATATATATATATATATATATATATATATATATATTTATATATATATATATATATATATATATATATATATATATATATATATTTATATATATATATTATATATATATATATATATATATATATATATATATATATATAAATTGTGTAAGTGTATTCTATATATAGAGTGCTCAATGTTCTTAAAAAACAGAGCAATGATAATTTAAATCAGTAAAATATTTCTACATCAGAAGGTTTATTAGGAAGATTGTCTAAACATCAAAAATTTTAAATTATAGAAAAACTATTTCATAGGAAGTTGGGAATCGTTATAATTAATTATGTAATAACTGTAGTATTTAATATCAAATGTAGTTGATCCAACTAGGAAGTTGGATCAACTACATTTGATAATAAAATAATCATAAAATAAATTCTTTTGAATTAGGATAGTATTGGACTGGTCATTGGGTTTAATATTTTTTTAAAAGGTATTTATTTCATGTCTGCATTTAGAAATTAATTCAGATTTTTATTCAGTAAATATTTTTTATCTAAATGAGTAATAATATCATTTTTTTTTTTTTTTTTTTTGTAACCATAGTATACATTTTTTGAAAATGTTATTTTAGGATGGCGGAGGCTCGCGGAAAACTCTTATAGGCCTTATAAAAAAACCTAACAATGAATTGTCATATATTAGTATTAATTCAAATAAATTTACAATAGACCAGTTTATTTAAAAAACAAATGACTGTTTTTTTAGTTGCTGTTTATTTTTTGACTGCATAGTCTCTTTTAAGTATTTTTTATGTTTAAAAAATTGTTTGAGGTTGGCATTATGTTTTTTTCATTTTCCCTCAGTCAAGCCTATTTATCTTTTGTCAGAGTTGTTTTGTGAGGAAACAATGCATTCTTAAATAATATTTTTCAAAATGTATTTGCTATTCATAGAGCAGTCGATTTGTTGCTTGCAGCTACAAACTTCAGTATATTTTTTCTTTGAAAAATTTATTTTTATTAAATAATGCAAAATTATGTTCTTTTATAATTCTTTCAATGTTTTTGTTCAGCTATAGCTTACCTTAATAGTGTTTCTGTTAAAAACTTT